AGGGAGGCCAGGGAGGGAGGTGAGTGCACCTCAGCTGGGCCCTCAGTTGCCCTCAAGGTCTTGGAGGGACACACGCCCTCCAGTCAACTCCAGTGGCTAAAACCCCCACCAGAATGCTTATATGTCCACCTCCGCCATTATTTTCTATAACCCTTACTCTGCCTTATTAATCTTTACAGCTCTTTTCATCACTGCATACATGACATCAGGGGTCGGCCGGTTATGAACCCACCAGCCACATCTGACCTGCAGCCACCAAGCTAAGACTGGCTTTCTTTCTCAAAACATTTTAGAAGGGTTTTTAAAAACACAAAAGCAAAAACAAACACACAAAACCAAGGATTATGTGACAGAGGGGTATGTGGCCCTCATTGCCCACATATGTCCCCTTCATCTGTTTCAGGAAAGTTTGCTGACCCTGACATTACAAAATTATTTGTTTTCTTGGTGTTGTTCATATGTTTGTCTCTGTCTTCCCACCTCCATCACCCTAAGTGCCACAAGAGTGGGAATGTTATGCCATTCATGCCATGCCCTTAGACATAGAACAGGACTTGATAGAAGCAGATGCTCAGGAAATATGTGGGAATTTTTTTAAGAATGAAGCCTCCTGGGAAGCTCTGAGAGCCCAGGGTTGAGAAGGCCGTTGGAATGTCTCAGGCTTCACCTGAGGTCCACTTGGAAGAATCCAGGTCTGGAGGAGGAGGGAATAGGAAATGGGGCAAAGTGCCAGGTGGGAGACCACTGCCTGGGAGAAGGATTGGAGGGCATGGAGCCAGCGGCTGGAGCCCAGCGGAAGAAACCCAGGAGGGGTAGGGGGTGGGCAAGGGTGGGGAGGAGCTCTGGCCCAAAGCCCCGTGAGCAGGCTGCTGAGACCCAGCCGGGCACTCTGACTGATTTGTGTAGCGTCGTGTTTTACAGAGTCAGACGTGAGAGATGGAAACAGGCAGCTGCTGGGATGATTGTCAAGGTATCTGTGAGCTGTAGTTAAGACAGCGTCAAATTATGGGATTAGCATCCCCACCTTCCAGGCCATTTGGGCTACTCCACTACTTTCTTCTTTTCTCCTTAGGGAAAAACAGTAGGGCTTTGAGGTGTAAATTCATAGTTTGTGATTAGGGCAACCCTACAGTTGTTGAAATTTGTTTTATGTATTCTATGTATTGATTCTGCTCTTGTTGCAAGTGTATTTATCTCCATTGCCAATGTAAATATTTCTGTAGCATGCAAAGATGTATTTATAAATTCTGTATTATTGATTTTTCTCATGCTGGAAACACATTTATCTCTTTGTTAATGAAATGTACTTAGGAAGTCGTGAGATTGATTATGGAGAAAGGTATGGGAAGGGAGGGAGGTGGTGCCGAGCTGGGTAGACTGTCCTTGGCCACAGGCTGAAGGCGACATTGTGGGACTTCCAGAAGGTGCATGTTTAATTGGAGGAAATTGCTCTCAGAGGCAAAGGTTGCCTGCAAAGTCCTTTTGCAGGACAGTCTGAGAAGGCATCGATGTGTGAAAAAACATGGTTCGTTTGGGATGCACACCATGGAGAAATTCATATCAGCTAAAACAGCATAGGGTTGGGAATCAGACAGATGTAGGTACACATCTCAGGGACTGCTGATGCTACAGCTCTAAGGACTGCACTCTGAGAACTACTGGGCTACCTTAAACAGCTAAGGTCTTCACAGGCAGGATTCATACCTACATCTCAGATAATATCATCTTGTCACCCTACCACTTGGTCCTCTATCTGGCTGCCTCCATCTATACTTCACAAGTCATTAATGTTTCCTCTTCCAGGAAGACTTTCTTTAGGTCTGACACATGGGCTGGCTACTCCTCCGCTGAGCTTCCAGGAACCCCATTCAATTTTATTGCTCTCACATTGTTTAGGTGCTGTTGGTGTACACTCTGACCATTTACCCACCCCTCACTCTCAGTGCTTTGATGACGCCCAGTACTCATTCCTTGCTCTGCGTGCCACTGCGCCTGACCTAGTAGGTGTTCGGTAGCTGTTCGTGGAACACCTGGTTGAATGACTTCAGCCAGTGGCATCATGTGAAATTTAGGTTTGTAGAAACATCACCTATGTTCTCCTCCATTTCTCTGTGGTGGATGCACATGGACACTTTCTAGCAGTTGTTGCTAAAGAGACTGACTTGAGAAACATGCTAGATTATGCATGCTGCTGGTGTGGCCTGCTCCAAGCTAAGCATCCCCTGCTTGTTCAGATGGGTGTCCTATGTGATGTGAACATCTATCTTTCTTCCCCAGACTGCCAGTGTTGGCAGGGAGCCTGGCTGGCTAGCTGCTTCTGCTCTCCTTTATTCCTCTTCATGTGTCCTTTCAAAAACTCTGACAGGAGGATGGGTGCCCCAGGAAGATGACAGCTTTGGTGTGGGACTAGTTGGGCCCCTCCGCTTAAACCTCCAAACTAACCTTTCACTGGTTTGTACATTCAGAAATACGATGGCAGTGCCCACTGTGTGCTGAGCATGTTAGTGAGCTGGGAAACTTTCCTTGAAAGAGGGAGTGTGCATCTCAGATGGGAAAGATCCCTCTGCATGGACTTGTGGCTGTGAGAGGTGATGGATGGAGGCCATGGGGCCACGGCACGAGGCTGGCAGGGTGGAGACGCAAGTGGTGTCTTAGGATGGGAGCACTGAGCTCTACTGGGACAGAAATGGACTTGAAGCCGTAAACATTCAAGCTGCCTGCTTGTCAGCTGGAGATGCTCCCTGCACCTCTGTCCAGGGACACAGTCATGAATAAACACCAAGAGAAGAGAGGAAATCTCCATTTCAAATGTGAGGATGAAACAGGAGTGCAGAGCGCCTTCACAGTTACGCATTCATTCCATACTCATGGAAACTGCAGTAATTTAGAGCAGTTCAGTAGTTAGACTCAACTATGTAATTCATCCTGATGTCTCCTATTCATCAAAGCCTTGTGTTTGTTTGTATTACCATGAGAAAAAATTTTAAAACATGGGAAAAAAAGATTTCCCTTCCTTTCATTACACCCAAATTACAACAGAGTTATAACCCTTGGGGCCCTTCAAGCAAAGGAACATCTTGCTTCAATTAGACATAAATTATGAACAATAATTAGAAAGATTTTTTCATTGAATTTGCTATTTTATGTTTCCTTTCATCTGTAATGTATTAAAATGAATACTGAGCTCTATTTCTGGGCCACGGAGGGAGGCCTGAAGGATCTCCAGGGAGTGCATCTCCAAGGTAGGAGGAAGCATCCGTTGCTGGCTCCTCTGTGTCCATGTCATGAAGGCCGGTGTCAACTTTGAGTCCAGTGCCATGGATGCAATCCTGGGGCTGCTTAGGCTCCAGTCCTACTAGAGGAGCCAGGCATATAACAATAATGCAGAATAATTGCTGCTAGTTACTGGGCCTGAGTTTGCATCAGCTTCTGCTCTAAGACTTGAACACACATCACCCCATTTAATCTTCGCAGTGGCCCTCTGCCATAGGCTCTGCTTGTAGACCTATTTTAACATGATTTGGAAACTGAGGCACAGAAAGATTAGCTGACTTAGCCAGACTTGCAGTTTAGTGATGGTGGAGCTAGGGGGCAAGGCAGGGCACTGGACTCCAGAGTTCCTGTTTGCCCTCCCTCTTGTATGCCTCTCTCTGAAATCACGGAGAGATCGTGCTGCCCTAGAAGCCAAACAAGGTGGAGAGCTGGCACAGGGCAGTAAGGGACAGTGGCGGCTTCCCATGGGGAGAGGCAGCTACTGGATCTTCAAGGGGTTTGCAGAAGTATATTGGGTGGATGACTGAGACAAAGGGATCCCAGGCAGAGGGAGCACCATGGCCTAGAGCCATAAATGAGACTGTGGGATTTCATATTTCAACCCTGGCTTTAGGCCTTTTGGAGGCAGGAGCAACAGCCAGAGATGAGACCGGAAGATGGAGGGTTGTGTAGATCAGACTGGTGGTATCAGATCTCTTCGTGGGAATGGTGGCTCCGTGAGAGCTGGGGGTGAGTCCTGGCTGATAAAAAGGAGAGACAGATTTCCAGAAGAGTAATCGGTAAAGAGCAGTCAGGTTGGAACCTGGCTGACCACTGAGCTTTTTGTTTCTGCAGTTCTATTCTGTGTGTGACCTTCTCTCAACACCCTGACCCCGGTGGCGCTCATCTCAGGGCAAGTAAGAACTTCGTGCCTATCGGTCCTTCCCAGTCTGACTCTTTCTCCAACCCCAAAGGAGGCTCTCCTCCTGTGCCCCCAGCTCAGGCATCTACTTTTGGGCTGCTGATGGGCCTTCCTGATACTTCCCCTCTTTCCAACATGCCCCTGTCCTGAGCTACCTGCTTTTCCTCCATGTGCAATGCACCTAGGGCTCTCAGAAGTGTTTTGTTTTATTTTTACCTTCTTTTAAATAATTGTCAATGCTTAAAAATCAAAAGATTTCATGTAAAACACAGATTTCTTTCTTTATTGAAAAATAAATTGGTTCGGTTGGGGGCAACAACTGAGTGATGCCAAGAACAGCTGCATAAGCTTGGGAGGGAACATGCCTCTAATTGGCTCAGTCCCTGTGTCTGATCAGTCATTTCATCAATCTTGCCAACAGGTTTTTCTTTCCTGTGCTGTAGGCCTTTGAGTTGGAGACTTTCAGTATCCAGCCTCTCATGTTGCCCTGACTTTTATATTGTGATTGTTTGTCTTTTACATTTCAACAGCTAGTCTGTAAGCTCCTTGAGGGTAGGAATTGTGTCTTACTCATCCTTTGTCCCTCAGGCTCTGCACAGGACCTGGTTTTCGGTGTTCTGTAAGCTTATTGAATTAATCTACACTGAGGAAACATAACTGGTAGAATGAGGCCCTGACAAGTCCTGCTCTGGGCTAAGGGACTCATGCTACTGACTGTCGGGAGTAAAGAATGTGGATAGCGGGCCACAGCTGAGCTTGGACCTCAGAAGTTTAGATCCTGCAGTGTGCAGCATGTACCCAGGTTTCACTGCCTTTTGCATTTCAGGACATTCCAGGACCTCTCCAAACAAGTGGAAATATCTTATGGCACTGTCCGGGATTCTGCTGTGTACGAGTATTTCCGAGCCAAGGGTACCAACCCCCTGGAACAAGACAACACATTTGCTGAGCTCTGGCGGACCATCAGCAAGAATGGAGGGGCTGACAACTGTGTGTCCAGTCCTTCAGAAGGCATCAGGAAGGTAGGCAGGGGCTGGCCACCTGGCCATGTGTGTGCTGTGACAGGTCATGGGCACAGTCATCTCCAAGGTAGGAGACACCTTCCCAGAGGCATCTCCTTTGATAACCCTATCACCTGCAGGGTGACCCATCTTCAGCCGGTTAGATAGGCATTTCTCACAGGCCTGTGAGTATCAAGTGGAGATGCACATATTCTCTAGGCAGATGCCCATACTTGGCAGCAGAAGCAAGATTGCTCATTAGGTACCTTCTAGGTTTCCAAAGAGTGAGGGAAGAGCAGGCAGATTAAACCCAAAACACAGACCTCCCTCCTCATGGGCGTGTAGCCCAGAGGGGCCTGCCTACCCCAAGTGAGAACACTCAGCAAAGGGAGGAGCAGAGAATCAGGTAAGAGGTGGACAGATGAGAGGACAAAGTTCAGGAAAGGGTGGGTAACACTGTGGGCTGGCCAGGGGTTGGAGGAAGCCATAGGGGTTGATGGAAGGCCACACATGGGGATGGAAGGCCCAGAGCAAGGACCAGCCACCTGGGCCAGGCGTATCTGTGGGATCATGCTTTGGAGAAAAGGTGTGCTGGGGAGACAGCGGTGAGGACAGCAAGCCCAGGATGGAGGCTGTATTGAGGCACACTGAGGGAGGACAGGGTGGGAAGAGGCCAGGACCAGAGTGAAGGGCAAAGAGAAGTCATCACATTTTTCAGCAGTGGGTTAAACTGTTCATTTATTTTGTTTAATTATCCCAAATGACCCAATTATTCATTATTATCCCATTGCACATAAGAGAATCAGAGACATGGGGTCACATTCCTAGGCAGATTCTGATACCTGGGCTCAGTTTGGCATTTATATGCCATGTGCTGCTGAGCCCCTGAAGGCCAATGAGAAGGAAGATGTTGGAATGAAGACAGGCATCATAAAGATGCTGCTGGTGGTGACATTCTTGCGTCTAGGAGCCCACCCATGTCATGTCTGCTGTCCCTGAGATCGCTCGTGAGTGATGTGACAAGATGTGCTCCCATAGCCAGCACCACTCCTCTATGCCCAGGCAGCCTCCTTCCTTCTGCTCCCTAGTCTACCTACATCACCACCTCTCTGGAACCTTCACACACCACTCACACGCATTATCTCTTATACACACATTCATGCATTCACATATTCATGGATGCACGTGCATGCACATATGCATGCACGCACATCTGCGATCCACATCCCCAGCTACTTGGTGATCACTTAGCCTTACTGCAGAGGGCAGTGGATATAAGGGGAAAGTCTGGGGAGAGCTTTGGGGCCGTGAGGGCCCACCACCCTGCTCTTCATGTTGACAAGGGTGCTTAGCAGTCTGCCAGCCCTTCCAGGAGAGCCCTAAGGGAGTCCAGGTCTGGAGCCCCACTTCAGAAGCAGGGTGCCTGGAGGCTGAGTGCAGCCTCTGTCCAACTGAGGACTCAGTGCCTGGCTGCACTGCTCCTTGTGGAGTGAGCCCCTGGCCATGCATTCTCACATAGCAGTTGGCTCAGGATGGCTTCTTCTTGTTGTTTAGCTATGTCAAACAGCAGAAAATGTCTGGGCTCTGGAGCCTGACACATTTGGGTGTGAATCCTTGATCCATGACCCACCAACTACATAAAATTGAACACACCACTCCTGTCTGGAACCACTCAGAGTTGAGAGGGGTCTGGGCAACTTCTCATTTTGGGGTCTCCTTAGAAACTTAAAATATTTAAAGGTATATGTATGGTAGATTTTGAGTGTTTACACCTGATTGTCACATAAGCAAAAGTAATAGAATGTAATGTAAATGTGCTATTTCCATGCTTACAAGATTTATTAAAACCTCTTCATTCCCATGTAACTGTAAAGGATGGTTCCCTAACCTTGAGCTGCCAGGACTTCTTTCATCCCTGACAGTGGATCTTTGTGGCTGTCAATGACTTCATTTGGAGATAATGAGTACAAAGGTGATTTAGGACCTTTTATGAACATAAGGCCTGGGCCAAATGGCCTCCGAGGTTCCCTTCTATGCTTCCTTTGTCTCTCTTAGAGAGCCAATACTCCCATCCACATAGGATTCCTTTGAAGATTCATTGCAACAGTGTTTCAAAAAGCACTTCTTCGAAAAGACAGCTACTTTTTACTCATCGCAAGGCACTTTAAAGAAAGTAAACAAATCACACACTAGCAGGAGAAATGGAGAAATTCACAATACATATGATCAATTTAGGATTAATAAAAGATTATAGGAAAAATTTTTACAAATCAATAAGAAAATGTAACAGGAAAATGGACAAAAGACTTGCATAGGCAACACAAATGGCCAGTAATCCCAGAAGAGGCAACGCATATGGCCGATAGTCATATGAAGAGATGTTCAAACCTATTAGTGTTGCGGGGAAATGCAAACCAAGACTATAAAGATATATCATTTTATGCCAATTAAATCGGTGGTAGAGAGGATGGAAATAACAGGTGGTTAGTTGCTGGTGGGCGGGTACTCTGTACAGCCACTTTGGAAATGATTTGTCATTTCTCTTATAAAGCAGAACATGAATGTACTCTGTGACCCAGCAATTCCACTCCTGTGTATCCACCCAAAATAAGCTCCCTCATGCACACCAGGGAGGAGAAAGGCTATAGCAGTATTGCTTATAGTCAAAATCCTGGAAACAATCCAAATGAACATTAACAAGGTAAAAAATATATATATGGCCTGCAATGAAATGGGTTGCAGTTTCTTGTGATAGTACAGATGAATCTTAGCAGAATAAAACTGAGTAAAAAAAAAGCATTAAAGGCAATATCATATGGGTCAACTAATAGAAAATAACATGCAATATAACACCCTTTTTAAAATGTATAAAACACATGTGCATACCCATCCAAAGTAATGATAAAAGACAAGATTTACCTTAGCGGTTCCTAGATATGAGAGAGGCAGAGCAACAGGTAAGAGAGAAGCATATTGTTGGAGGTAAGTCAGGGCCAGTGTTAGCTTTAGATTTACAGGTGTTTTATTTTTTAATTCATTCCTCATTATAATAAATAATAAGTGAGTTAATGTAAAAAGAGGGTCATTCCTGCACAAAAGGATGGGTGTCCCAAGCCAAGGACTGTGATTGATCCCATTCTGTGCCCCTCCTACTCTTCCAGATAAATAAATCCAGACCAAGCCAGGCAGAGTTTGGCTTCCACACATGCCAGCCCCTTCTCCCCTTGCACACTCCCATGTGCCGCCCATTCTTGCTCCTGGAGTACCTTTAGAGGGCAGACACCGCCCCTAAAGCCCTCTCTGCAGGTGAGAAATCTGGAGATGGGTCATCAGGGAGACATTTCCTCATTTACCTACCCCTAGTCCATTGCTGGCATATTAGAAATCATTCACCCTCTGGTGATATTTAGGGTTATACTCATGAATAAAACAATATAGAAAGAATAAGTAGTGGGATATGCAAATAAAGGATTCCTTACAAATGCCTATAGCTTCATGGTACAGAATCTAATCTTTTCTCAGTACGTATGATGTGTTACTTTTATGACACCTTCGTTTTATAAACCCTAAGCATGCTTTGGGGTCACAAATCTCCCTCTTGCATTTGGATCTTTAAGGAAAAAAAACTACTGCCAGCACTAGACAAATGTTAAGGTTTTTATAACTAGTGTCATAAAAGTAGGTTTATAGTATTGTCAGAAAATGGAGTGTACTGTATTTCTTACTGGAAGGAGATCTCAGATTTACTCCCAGATCCGCCCTCATGTACCTGTTTGGGTGGGCTCCTGTATCTAAATGCTTGTCTGAAACTCTTCCTGTCCCCTGCCCCTATGGGACTGCTCCTTACCCCCCAGGTTGTGGCTATAGAAACCTTGTGAATTGCCTGGCTCACAGCAGACCGGGCTGGGGCTGACCATTCCTCAAGAGAGGGCTCTGTCTTCAATCCAGAAACTATAAAGGAACAATCCAGCATTTGGGAAGTATGGGCCTGATCCTGATATTCAGGGACAAGTGGCTTCTGTAAATCCAAAACAGACCCTGCTTCTCTGCAGGGCAGGCAGTCTGGCAATGGCGTAGAGGGGATGCCCCCAAGGGATAATGCAGGAAACTTCTTTAGCAAGGGGAGGACAACCCTTCTTCTAATTTCCAGTTACTCTTTGGTGATTCTGGCTACATTTCTGAAGAGTGCTTGACAGTGGAGTGAGGTCTGATCGCTGCTAAAGTCAAAGAGCTTGGTGTGGAGGCTAACCTTGGAGAGCCACAGTTATTTTTTCCTTGCGAGTGCTGCAGCTTTTAACGACTTGAAACCAATTTAGGTGGGAAATTGCTCACTAAGAGATAATCACTTTTCTACAGTTTCAGAACCAGAGAAAGGGATTAAGTCATGCTTGCCTCACCATTGCGACCCACTCCTTCATGCCAGTGCCCACTCAGACAAGGAGGGGACAGCCCTTTCGGGGCCCTGATGGACAGAGCAGGAAGGAACTCAGAAGGGGAGGGAAGTTCTACTTATTTAGTAAGGTCTCACGGCATACCGTCTTTACAACAAACCTGCCTGACACCCAGTAAGTCTTAATAAATCCTGGAATGCCCCTGAATGAGTCACCTGCGTGCTGTCAGAGCAGAGACACATAACATCAGTGATGTAGTTTGTGCCATCAGTTAGTGGGCTACCTTCAGAGATTCCTTGATGGGAGAGACAAGGGGAAGAGCTCTGGGACCTCCTTCAGGCTTGTCTCTTGTTGGCCTTGTCTTAGGGAAGAGACCCTGCTGGTCCTCAAAAAGAGGAGATAGGCTGCCTTCATTCTTCTCAGCCACCTGCTCCTGTCAGGCTTGAGGAAAGACTAGGCCAGGGGTCAGCACACTATGGTCCATGGACTAAATCTGGCCCATTTCTTGTTTCAGCAAATAGAAGTCTACAGGAATACAGACATCTTCATTTACATACTGTCTACGGCTGCATTCCTGATACTCCAGCAGAGCTGAGTAGTTGTAACTGGACCATTTGGTCCCCAAAGTCT